GCGCTTTTGCGCCGGAGTTCACCGAGTTAGAGGAGAACTCGAAGTATATTGAGAAAGAATCGGAGTTCGATTTGGAAGATGAGGATGCTGATGAGCCGGCAACACACTCTACACAGGTCAAACAATTTAATTTCTTTTCGGATCGAAAGGTTTGAGTTTGGGCAAAAGGCACAAGCTTAAGTTAATTGGGTAATTCAGAGTATGAGCTTACTCTGACTTGCACTCACTGATACTAGAATGTAAGTAAAACTTGATTTACAAGACTACAGTCTTCGTGAAAAGAGGTGATTTTGAGAATTCAGTCTTGAAACGGGTGTTATCTTTTAGATATCAAAGGTGATAACTGAAAGTTTGGGTTAAGATTCCGGGAGTCGATTAGTTGAATAGGTGAATTGCAGGATGAAGACGACGAGTCGGTAGATGTAGTCACAGTGAAAACGAACGCCATCTATTGTAGTTCGGACGAAGAGGAAGCAACTAATGAGGAATTGAACAGTAGTGATTTTGTGATGGATCTGACCGCGAAGAGCGGTCCACTGTGGTTCTTGCCGATCTCACCGGAGGTGGAAAATCCAGAAGAAAATCCATTATCGTTGCTTTATGGTCAGTGTTTTATAATGTAGATAATTTACTTATTTGTACTGATCAGGTAACGAGGCATCCATTTAGTTTGGTTGGAAATTCTGATATTTATTCATACCAAATGATGATAATTGAATTTTTTGAATTGTAATGTGCAGTGTTTTTGAATGAAAATTTTTTTGAGTGAAATATTTTGATAATTTTAGATTCTGAGAATGGTTCGAACAATCATGATAGTGATTACTCAGCAGGTTCGTTGTATTCAGTTTTTCGAACTTCTTGTTTGGGGGAGAGAAATCTTAGGTTTCTCTATTTTGGAGTCATTCTTAATATTTTGTTTGATGATTATTGAAATGATTGCTATAAGTATTAGCGAATTTTCGTGATTTAATAGCATGCGTTATGAAATTTATCTATTGCAATTGATAAGAACGAATTATTAAGGGATTCGTAAACGAACCTCAACAGGTAGTGCTTCGAGTAATGGAATGGCATCGAGGATGTTAATTAAGCAACGTAAAACGAAGTGATCAATGTAAACTGGAGCGAACTTCATGAATGATTCCGTTTTTTTGCTAATCGAATGATTTAAATTATTTCTTTTTGATCTTACTGAAACGGGTATTATGATTTGTATTCAGTTAATGATTATGTTAATGATTATGAGCGTGTTGTATAAATGTCACTCTAATTTTTTATTATTTTCATAGTTGTTTCTTGTTTATATATGTTACAGTTAGCGTTCATTATTTGTCGAATGTGTTTGTGTTATTATTTTTTTAATTATTAATATCGTTATTATTATTACTGTTATTGTTAATTTTATTATTATTGTTATCATTGTTGGTGTTTACGAATGTGGAGTGGTCATTAATGTGTAAAAGAGATGATATGACTGCGATTATTAGAAGTGGATTTTCATTGTTATCTTATGAATAATCTGTTTCAACATTTTTTGACATTGATTATTTGTGATTAATCTTCATTATTATTGATCAACATTTCATAATCAAGTTCTTCGCTGCTTTGAATGTCGTCTTTTATTGTAAGTAATGTTGACAATGTAGCAGTCTTCTTCATGGAAATTGTTTAGTTTTTGTAAAAATAAAATTGATGAACTCGATTGTTCTGTGTGTTCACACAAAAATGGTACTGACAAGATCATAGGAAACTAAAATCATGGCAGAAGAATGGATTTTTCATGGGTAGTATACATCGAAAGTAAATTGCACCAGATGGTCGGTATAACAGTGATCTCGATAGGCAATACAAGTGAATAAGTTGCCGATTAACTGCGCGTCGAGAAGTCCTGATATGGCAAACATTGGATCCATCTCGAGAAAGTGCAGCATTCAAGTATTTAGTGCTTTGCGTTATGTTAAAACTAGAAAGTATGCAATTTTAGCGTTGACTGTTGATGATAGAACGGTAGTTGTACCTGCGGTCCCGGTTAACTACGCTAACTG